GTTCATAAACCGTGTAACACCGCGGGAAAAAAGATGTCGACAAGGGGTTTTAAGCTTTAAACCGAACCGGTTTAAACCGGTACACGCGTTACTTACGCGCAACCTCCACGTCTTCACATCTCGTGACAGATACAGAGATACTTAACTTGGTCACTTTCTCCTTCAAATAAATATCTTTATCTTTATTTATCAATCAAAAACCAGAACCAAGTCTTCTTCATTCTTCTCCGATTTGATTCTCCGGCGATAATGGAATCCCACGGAAACCCAACAGACAAGCAATCTTCTTCTTCTCTTTACCCTACTGTTGACATGTCGAATCCCGAAGCTCCTCTTAACCCTAACTCCTCCTCTTCCACTACCAACAATCTCTATCCTTCGCTCGATATGGACGATCTCGCTCGTGATCTCTTCCCTGAGCAACCGGAATCGACTTCTATCCCGATCTCAGCTCCTACGGAATCAACGGAGGAAGTGATTCTGAAGATCCCAGGCGCGATTCTCCATTTAATCGATCAATCCTACAGCGTCGAGCTCGCTTGCGGCGATCTTTCGATTATCCGTCTTGTTCAAGACGGGAATGTCGTCGCTGTTCTCGCTCGTGTCGCCGATGAGATTCAATGGCCGTTGACTAAAGACGAGAACTCCGTTAAAGTCGATGAGTCTCATTACTTCTTTACCCTTCGACCAACCAAAGATTTCGGATCTGATTCCGGCGATGAAGACGAAGAAAGGGAGAAAAACCCTAAAGAAGAGAACGATATGTTGAACTACGGACTTACGATTGCTTCAAAGGGTCAAGAGCATTTACTTGAGGAGCTTGAGCAGATCTTGTCGAATTACAGCTGTTTTACTGTGCAGCAAGTGTCTGAGGAAGCTAAGGAAAGTGGTGAAAGGGTTTTGGATGTGACGGTGGCGAGAGAGACATCTCCGGTGGAGCTTACTGGTGAAAGGAAAGAGATTGTTGAGAAGCAATGTGCTGCTTATTGGACAACTTTAGCTCCAAATGTTGAGGATTATAGTGGGAAGACTGCGAAGCTGATTGCTACTGGTTCTGGACATTTGATTAAAGGGATTCTTTGGTGTGGAGATGTGACTATGGATCGGCTCAAATGGGGAAATGATTTCATGAAACGGAGGTTGAGTAAAGCTGAGAAGGAGAGGGATGTTCATCCTGATACCTTGAAAAGAATCAAGAGGTATATGTTTAATGGAATTGTGGTTTTTGATTCAAGTTTAACTTTTAGTGTTTCATATGTTTGCTTGAAAGGTTTGTGATGTTTACTTGTAGTTTAGTTTCTGAAAAAAGGGGAAATCTTTGTGTGTTATCTTGTACCTGTGTGTTTGGTATGTGACTTTCTGTTTTAGGAAAATGCTTGGACATAGCTATATGCATTGCTTTAGATAGTAGAACATTGGTGTGTGTATTGATTGCCTAATGACTTGGATTGTTTTGCTTTATGGTAGAGTGAAGAGGATGACCAAAATGACAGAGAATGTGGCAAACGGCATTCTGTCTGGAGTCATTAAAGTTTCTGGGTTCTTTACAAGTTCAGTGGCAAACACCAAAGTAGGAAGGAAGTTCTTTAGCCTTCTTCCTGGAGAAATCGTCCTTGCAACTCTTGACGGATTCAGTAAGCCCGTTCTCTATATTATAGAAACACTTATCTCGACTTAATGCGGTTATCTTTAGTTTTTTCATAATCATTGTTTGATTCTTGTTTTGATAGATAAGGTATGCGATGCTGTTGAAGTAGCTGGAAGGAACGTTCTGTCAACCTCGTCCACTGTTACAACCGAACTTGTTGATCACAGGTAAGTAACATGAGTATTCGGAATTTGAAAGTGTCGGTTTTTTTGGAGAATCAAGAGAAATAATTTTATGTTTGGTGTTGATGAATGCAGGCATGGTGGTAAAGCAGCAGAGGCGACAAACGAAGGGCTTGAGGCAGTAGGATATGCTTTTGGAACAGCCTGGGCTGCTTTCAAAATCAGAAAGGCTATTAACCCGAAGAGCGTTCTCAAGCCTTCGACGCTTGCAAAATCTGCCATTAGATCTGCAGCTTCACAAAAGAAAGCTTAGTAAGGTTTGTTCCTGAATGAAGCCATTGATCATGTTTGTTTGTATTGTCTCTTGATGCACAAGTAAAACTGAAGAATGGTTTGGACTTTGGAGTAGTGTTTGTGTGTTTTCTCTGAGAATCATGTGATGTAATGAGTTGATACGAAATATGTTATTATTATTGTATGTGTAAGTGAGCTTGGGTTTTCATTGTTGGGTCAATCCAATTCAACCTTGATTTCTCTATGAAATTAGTTCTCTTGTTAGTTGTTACTCAACTAGCAACAAAGCGATTGCATATCGATAATTTTTTCTCCACATCTAAGATACTTTATTTGAGTTCAACTTGACTATCGAAAAAGAATCCATATGAACAACACACCTCGGTACCATAATGTTGCTTGTAA